ATCACTGAACCCAAATCCTGTTGAGCTTGCCAGGGGCTTCCTTTAGCTGCTGAGCAGATCTCTCTGTGCATCTTTTACCTCTCTCCTAAGCTGTAAATCTTCATACTTGGAAAGTCCCTTACTACAGACACCAGTGCCTATAAGAACGGGCCAGTGAGCTTGGCTGGACCCACCAGACCTGCGTTGATTCCACGTAAAGCTAAAGCTCCCAAAACAAGAACTCTCAATAAAGAAAAACTGGCCTCTCCAAGGAAGAGCTGAATTGCTTCTCCAGGTGCCCATCTCCCTCCAAGGACTGTAGAGGAAGGCCAGGAGAGTGAGACCCCGACACCTCAGATGTGGTTTGCTGCTTGAATGTAGTTTTAGGTACCGTCTTGATACAAGAAAAAATAATAAAGTTAGTTAAACATAAAAGGTTACAACATCACAGCTCATCAGCTTCTCATTAGCTCAAATGCTTAAGTTGCCAAGGGGTTATACAGGCAGCATTTGAGGGAAAGAACAAGACAGTCCCAGGATTCTTCATTTTACACTTTTAGGGGTCAGTGTCTGTTTGCTCCAAATTATTCATGATTGATCATGCAGTTTGGTGCAGCTTTTCTCTATCAAACTTCCTAAATTGATTTAAATATTTACAAGATAGTCATTTTCAGCTCCATGAAATATCCTACAATACATAATACGTGAGTGAATGGTGCTGACAAGAACTGATAAGCTTGTAGCAGGCATCACATCATATAGGCCTAAGTATGTGGGACTTATGAATAAAGGTCAAAAATCTTAAAATAGCAGATGTCCAATCGTGTAACTTCTTTGACAAACTTAAAGCAGATAATGTCACCACTCGATTACTGCTGCACTAATTTTTTCTTTTTCAATCACATCATGACATTCTGATGCCTGATAATTTTCTGATGTCCTTCTAACCAAACCTTGGAGGGAGGTGGGATGTCACATATTTTTATTTAGACACTCGGGTTTAATGCATGTGACAGCTGGATTATTTTTTGACTTAAAACTCCAATGTGAAAAAGAGACATGTTAAAGAATCTTCCATGCACCTTCTCTCAGAGGTACCAGATGATCTGGCATATGCGATTCATTAACCGAACGTTTGTTTCACCAGGAGCAATAAATGCATGCGTGCCACTTGTGCTCTGAAGCAATGTATATTTCTTAAAAGAATCTAGACCTAGTTGCTCTTGATCTGTGGGACAGGCAATGAATGTGTGTGGTATATTTACCCCCTTCATCTCGCTGGGAGCAGGCTAAAAGGGAAGAGCAGCTGGTGCTTCAGGCATTACAAGGGCAGGTTCAAGCGCCTGCTCTCTGTTATAGGCTTCCCATGGGAAATGGAGCAAGTTTAATTACTTTCTTTGTCTTCGGAAATCTCCATTTCCCTCTCATGTGCGAGGCTATCCTTGAGGGACACCGTCACAAGGGCTACAGAGTGGGATCTGCCTTCCCCGTCTGTAGCACACTTTCTCATCCTGATCCACTCGAACTGTGCTGTGGCACCTGTTTGTGAAGCAGAGCCCCTCTGCTTTAGCTCTTCTTCACCCATGCAGCTCCTACTCAGGGACAGGAGAGAGAAAGCAGGGTGAAGAAGGGGAAGAAGTCAGGAGGGGAGACCTGTGGAGTTGGGGCTGGCCACTCTCCTGCGTGAAGGGCTTGCGCTCCCAGGGAGCCCCCAGCACCCAAGCAGGCTTGCGAGGAGTAAGATGAGAGCCTTGGAGGATAGGGACATCAGTGACCTGGGGTCGCTGGCAAAATGATTAACAAAATAATCAATCTTTTCCTTGCTGAAAGCATTAAAGACTTTCCAGACATTCCTCATGGCATTAATTCATATGCCAGTGTCAGCTACTAGCAGCATGGCAAGAAAATTCCTTGACCATGAGCTGTACGAAATGAACTCTCAGCCCGTACCTATGAAACAGCTGGATAGTGAACCCAGGGTTAAGGGTCACCTAAAGGTTAACCCTAATTATTAAGGGGAACAGGGCTTTTATTTCACATTTTCTACATGAGGATCATTTTACTGTGTCCTGAGAGAAAGGAGGAGTGAGCACGTGAAAGAGCAGGTACCACTCCCATCCCACAGCAAGGGAAATTTTTGAACACACCTCAAACAAATGCAGGAACAAAGCAGAAAAAAGGCAGCAAGATGCTAGTTAATCACTTGTATGTGATCAGTATGATTGGCAAATGCTTGATTTTTTAATGAACTGGAAACAAGGTAGCAGTTCAAAGAGACAGCAAACACTGAAGACATGATTGACAGAGTTTGGAAGATTTCAGTTCAGAATATAACCAGCCAAGGAACTACCGAGACCCAGAGGAAGTGACGGAGAATTGCCATAACCATACATCTACTGCTGCTTCACGGCCCCCACACCAGCACGCTGATTCTACATCACTCTCATTTGAATCAGATTATGATCTGCTATTATATTCATATTTTAAAATCCTTGGAACAACAAATCCATAGTTGATGAACTGTGCTTGTAATCTCATGTATTTACACAAATGTAATTTATACAATTTAATTGGTCTCTGTATAGTATAAGGCTAGTTACTTCTTATACCTTCCCACCACTCCACAAGCTGGTACTGCATTTTGAAGACTAGCCAAAGTCTGAGTCAATACACGCGTCTATGCACTTTCAGACAAAACTTACATTTAGTTACTACTGATTATACCAGTAATCTAGAGAAAATAAAACACCAACTCCCAAATGGAGTATTATACATGGGAGGGCATACAGTATCAAAATTAAAATTAAAATGAATACAAATCTGGAAATAATACCAAGTTTAAAAACAACACATGCTACTATCCCACAACCATTATCTTTGCCGTATAGTAGAGACAGTATGAGATAACCATCTAATTAAACCATTTTTGTGCTTGCAGTATGAATTTAAAGTAATCCAAATTCCAGTAATCAAATGTATGCATTTCCCCCTGATTCTGCTGTGATGAAGAGTTAACGTGCTATAAACGTAGCCTGAGCACAAGCTGCTGATATGTTTAAACAACACAAGGCCTTTGGTGAAGCATTTCTGCAATGATCCCCTGCAACAAAGAGATTTGAGTGGGGTATTCCATTTCCTTTAAAGATCCCTTAAAAATTAACTCCTAATTAATATACCTAGAAATTCTCAGAAGACACTTTTGTCAAGAATACACTATTTCTTAATACGTAATCAAGATTTAATCCTCACTTTAATTCAGGTTCATCAGGTAGGATAGCTGCCATTCCCCAAGTGTGGACGGCTGTAGCAGATTCTGCTCCAAATAACTATGCAACAGCTAATGGTTATCTAGTTTAATAAAATTATTGTCCAGTAAAAGCAATACAGCAGATTAACATTTCAACCAGGTGTACTTTTATTTTTTGGAGTAAGAAAGCTCATAAATTCTCCTTATGCTTTCCAGCATGCACTCCGCCATTTTAATAATTAGTCATTTTACATTAGCGAGAGTAACCTCACCCTCCATTTGGTGAGCAATGCAAAAAAGACTGGTAAGTTGAGTCAAAAACATCCCAAACAGGGAAACGTGATTTCTACTTCTCATATGGAAATCTCACTAAAAAATGCTCCTGAGTTAGTTAAGAGCTCTTGAAAGCTCTCTATAGGTAGCTGCAAAATCATCCCTAACATCCTTCCTGCCATGTGGCCATGAGTATCCTTCTCAAACAGCCCGGCGCTGGTTGTCTAAACGTCCCTTCCTGCTGCGCGGCACGCAGGACGCACAGGCACACTGAAGCACATCCCTCTCCATTGGATATGCACAGCTGTTTTAGCAAACATCATAGAGATACTGAAATGCCACCCAGCGATCACACAAAGTAAATGCTTTAGGCTGGGCCACAAGTTTCACGTGGGATTCATTTCATCCAGCTGTAGCTGTATAAAGATTAAGGATCTAAAGTAATCACATATGGCCCCCCACAGTCATTAGGGAAGTGACTCAGTGGCTCAACCGTAAGCACATAGAGCTGTTTCAGATGTTCCAGGGTGTCTCATCTGGCCTCCACTTACTGCTCCAGTTCATAGATCTCCCGTAGATCCTGGGTCATATCTGCCCTATGGATGCCACAGACTCATCAGGGTTATTTCAGTTCATACTAAACAGCTATGTTTAGGCAACTGAACCATGCCCCACAGAGAGATGCACTTTAGGCAGGACCTCAACAAGTTTCATACACAAAACAGAAGTATTTAGGAGCTGAATCTCACACTGCATCAATAGGTTCAGTGTTCAGGACCATTCACACAGACCCTCATTGGCTCATTTGGCTCATTTTGGCTGCTGTTTGCTTTCTTACTGCACTGTTACACGCTGCAGTAAGTAATGACACGGGTAATGGTGGGTGGGATTTAACTCCAGGTTGTAGCATTTAAAATTAGGTAACTAAATGCAGGTGCTGCTATGATGATCTGGCTGTCTAAGCTCTCTGTAAGGTCAATGGAGAATCCGGATGCTCTCTTGTAGGCACCTAGTGCCATCAGAGATGACCTTCCCTACTCTCCCTGGTCTCCAGCTGCCTCTTCAGCTCTAGCTGTATAAAAGTCTCAATTTAGGTGTTTTAATTTGTGTCCTGAATCTAATTCAAGTAGTAAAGCAGAAGGTAATTGGGCCCAAGTGCTTTTTACAAAACATCAGCACCTCTTTACTCTTCTGGGCATGAACTGCTCAGTGAAAAGACAATGTAAACTGCTTTAGTACCTGCTGCATATTTATTCTGCTATCTCTCACTAAAATCAGGCAAGATTTTTGCCTAATTGTTTTGGCTGCATAACTTAGCAACAGAAGTGCACAAAACTAGTTGTTGCCATATGATCACCAGTATCTTCAGAAAATTTCAGGTTTACTCCTTACAGCAAAATTCAGTGACTAAAAGAATCATTTGTTCAGTAAAATCCATAAACTAACATTGAGTAATAAAAGAAATTCTAGCTTAAACAATAAACAAAGAAAGAGCCAACTCTTCAGCTATTGAAAATTTTATTCAGTGTCACTTCATACAACTGAAACATGAAGACTTGTACCAGAAAAAAAAAAGATCCAGGAATGGTTTTACTGATGTTAAAACTGCAGCCACATCAATCTTAATCATTTACTTTAAGTATGAAAGTGGGGGGAAGGAAAACTGCCAATTAATCTAGTGAAAGCACTTAACATTTTGGAGACTGTCATTATTGTTGTTATGAGGATTAGCTAAGACTTTTCTATTTTTTTTAAGAAATGCCAATTTTATTAAAATCTTTCTGCAGAAACATGTCCCATTTCAAGGACAATTTCACTGAGCAGTGAATAGCAGTTGAAACCCTTCTGCTGTCTCATCCAGAAAAAAAATATATCCAATTCTTAATGGACAGACGAGGGGCTTGACTTTGTCTCCTCCACCTAGTGGGAATGCACCAAACAACAGGCTACTGAGATGAAGCAGAGATTACGAAAATACATACTCGAACTTCCACTACTAACAAAAGTGAAAATAAACTACTTGTTCTCTGTAGCAGCCCCAGCTGCAACAAAGACTGCAGCGATCGGAACAGATGGCCATCGGGGTGGAATGTAAGAAGCAAATGCCTCCAATGGAGGAATAAAGTCCATCGGCACTTGAAAGGTGTATGTATGTGACATGGCTTGCAGAACCAGATCTGGTGAGAAGCTGAGTGGCTTTCCAGCACTGACGCGTGGCAACAACAACGAAGCACTCAGACAGCATCTTGCAGATTTAGGTCCCTAATGCAACGTAAAAGGTATTTGCTCCAGCTAGTGACCTGAGAGCTTGCTTTGGCTTAGTTTTCCCTGAAGCATTTGCTGTTAAGTTAATCAAACATTTAAAAATAACAGTCTCTCGCTTCCCAGAGACCCAACACAAATACTCCTCTGTCTTCTTCTAACGGCCAGATTTTCTGCAAGGGTAAATCAATAGTTTCACTGATTGAGAATCTGGCATTAAAAGTCTATCCAGTGCATTAAAATCAGTGCACCACGCTGGCAACAGAACAATTCTCCAGATTAATATTTGAGGGAACTTTTGGCAGTAAAGAAGCTCTATTTTGAAATGCTGCCATTTTTTTTTAATTGGTGCTGACCACTACAGTTTCTCCTCTTGTGAACTGCACCGTTCCAGCAGGAGTTTCACTGTCATTTTCCTCAATCTTTAGCGCAGCGTTGTCCAAGCCAGCGCTGACAGGCTGTGGCAAAGCGGTGGGTTCTGCAGTCCGAGTTGGAGTGGAGCAATATAAGATGAAGCCCACCATGATGACAATGAAGGACAGGATATAAAGACCTGAAAACTGTCAGAGGAAAGAATAAAATGTGTTAAGTCTTGTCTGACGGAAAAAACATACAAATGTTGCCTTGTATAAGAATTTGAAAGCTACGCTTCCTTTTAAAAAAATATTTTAATAAGGATTATCACCATGATCTATATTCAGGCCTGAAAACCAAAATCCAAGAGCTCCATGCACTGATAAAGCTGCTTACTGTTTATCTGTATCTCATCCTCAACACTCTTGTACAGGCTATTTTCTTAGGTCTACACACAAGAATCTTAAGGGATAAAACAAATGTGCTGATGGTAAAGGATAGCCATTTATATAACTGAAATGTATGCTGAAACACTGTATCCCTAAGAGAACTTTGTTTTAACACAGCCATATATTTCAGGTCCTGGTAAGAGAAGAATCTCTCCATCCTACCGCAAGTCACCAGAGTGGCTGGCTCTCTGAACAACTTTTAACTATTTGCAAGGCTAGATAAATGCTATTACTGGGCAAAAACCTGTTTGCTCTCCAGACATAGCAAGTTCCTGAAGAGAGGGAGACCAGGGAGCCTTGTACAAGATATGCATTTGTGCTCCTTACTGAAAGCGAACAGTTAGAGAGGTATGAGGTAAGAATATGAACTGCTGAGGTACATCAGGCATTTGATTCACTATCATGCCCTTAACTATTGAAATTCTAACAACTGGCAATAGTCAGCTATTTTAATAGAAAAATAAATGTTTACTTCTTAACACCAGATTTAGTAATACAAAGTACTTCAGTCATACACAGACAGGAACAGTTTTTCAGGAGGTTTGCTAAAATCTTCTTTATTGTCTTTGCCAAACCACACTGACTTAAACAGTAGGATGATGGACATAGCATATCTTACATCCTCTTGTCAGGATGGTATAAAGTTCTGGACTTCAGTGGAAGTAGTATTTTTTCCCAGGAAGGCTGGGTCATGGTCAAGATTTTCAACAGAGCCTGAGAAATTCCAAAATATACCCAAAACCCCCTGAGCTTCGTTAGACTTGCTTGAAAAATCTGTTCTAGCTTACTAAGCAGCAGAGCTAGATGAAATGAAAGGCAGGAGCTGGAAAGCCACAGGACTCTGATCCAAAAAAGACTGAGGCATCTGCAGTTAAGGCATTGCAATTCCCAGCAGGTAGTCACTTGGCTTAGCAAGCACATCGACCCCTTGGAAGGCACCACGCAAGATGAAGAGCAGGCTGAAACGCACCAGCTGTCTCTCTTCCCCTTGCTGGCTGCTACCTTAGAGATGGCTTGGACTCAAAGGCATTCACTCTGTGTTCGGGAAGGGCCAAGCTCTGAAAACCTCCTGATGGAGGTGGCAGCAGCGTCAGTGGTCTTACCCATGACAGATCCAGTCTCGTCAAATGGCCAGAGCTTGTGTTTGTACCAAGGCACCTGCACAAGTTCTCCAGAGCGCAAAATAAGGACATGACTGAGCATGTGTTTGTATGCAAGTAAATGTGGCTGGTAGGCAAGTTTGAACAGTTAGAATAACCCCTAGATACGCTCTAACAGTGCGCACAAGGTCATAGGACTCCCTGATGCTGATCTCAAAGTCTAGAGCTGAGTGGATCTATAGGGAGATGTTAAGCAGAGTCATGTCTCTGATATCCTGCTCCCCTGGAGCTCTGATTCCAGCATCACGGATGCTTTGTTGAAGCCTCCAACCAAGAGTATCAATCTTCTCAAGGGAAAATGCCTTTTTTCTTTCACATAACCCAGGAAGACTCCCTGTTTTCTTTTAAAACTTAGGCACTGGAAGAAGAGCCGTTTATCACACCCATCTTTTACAGAATATCGTCACACTTAAATCACCAAGCCAGGAAGCAGGAGACGCAGGCAATGTCCCTACTAGTACCGTGCGCAGCGCCAGGCCACAGGCACTAGGCCAGGCCAGTTCAGCTGCTAGCTGCATCTCTGGCACACTTCTGACCTGCACTTCCCCAGACAATTCCAGACACCATTTGGAAGTTAGCATAAGCCAAGGACAACACAGAGCTTGGATGCAGCCCTTTGCTTTAGAGGGCAAGAGGGTTTAGCCATAAGGATGAGAATGGTCCGTAGCCCTGCTCAGTTCACTACTGTAAGATATAGTCACAAGACCAAGGCCCCCCCCAAGTTTAGAAGTTTACACTGTCTACGTCTGCTACCAAGACAAGTGTCTGACCTAGAGGTTACACTAGTTGGCCTGCCCTGTTCCAGTCACGCTTCTAGGCAGAAAAACTACCTGGTGTACGAGAAAGGGCAGATTAGAGAGCACAACTGCTGAAGCCTCATGGTTAAGACATAACCTGAAGTCATTGAATAAAACAGGATTTTGAACAAGGACCAGACTGGCTGATTAATTCTTCCTGTCCTGTATGTGGACAAAAGTTTGGGAACATGCATTTTTTAGATTGTTTAGCCTTATTTTGAAGGAGAATGGGGAGATCCTCCTACCCCTAAACATTTAGTTGATCAGTTTTAAGACATCCATTTATGCATTAAGAATATCAGTGGTGTGTGAGCATATGCATTATAAGCATATTTATATATACGCTTATGGAAATCACAATACACATGCAGATGATATCACATTAAAATGTCTTCCTTTCAAATACCAGAGTGCTTCCCTTCACCATTATTTCAGAGTCAGAGTAGTACTAAACTGTTTTCTTATCAGTCCAGAGAGACAAATCTGTCTTGTTCTGGAGTTAGGCAGAGGTTTCTCAGAATTAATTCATCTGTGACTAGACACACAGTCATCAAGATAAGGCAACAAAAATGTTGCGATGTAGCTTCAGTACAAGGCTTGCTTATGTGCTAGTGGCTATTGACGCATGTATACCTCAACCATGCTGCTCAAACAGGCCTACGTCCTTTGGAAGGAGGAGGCATGGGAGCCACCGTGGTCTTTGCCTCAGTTTTATTCAGTTTCAAATGTTGCAGCAACTTGATTGCTTCAGACATTGATTTTAGTCATACCTGTGCAGCTTACATCCCTTTACTCAATAACAAGTCTAAAGACCACTTTAAATATGACAGGCTGACTGTAACTGCATCT